TGAATATCTTAAGATATTTAATGCTTTAGCAGAAAATGTATAAGGTACAAAAACAAAATAACTAGCACAACTCAGTCTTTATCTATTGCTTTAACAATAACCATCATCAGTTACCCTTCATAATTAAACAATTATCAACTACCATTAAAATTTTATAAAGAACGAAATTATTTACTTTGCCCGGATTTCCGGTTGAAGCGGCTCCGACAAAGTGAATACACACATTCCAATGTCTGAAAACGTGAGTAATAAATTTAATGAACTGGAATAAATAACTTGAACTTCAATAATAAGAAAATTAAAATTGACAATTATCAAAAATATACTCTTGAGTGCCATCAAAAGCGTGACACCAGAGTTGACAAACGTCACATCGAATCCAATTTTCAATCGGATTATCATCTTCTTAAATGTATATTTCGCTGCAAAAAATATAATATATCCTTAAATTCTTTAATTTTCTTCGACTGTTTAGTTTTCTTAGTGGTTTTTTTGTTTGTTTTGTCAGTCTTAGTAATAGCTTCAACAGTCTTCTTAGGAACATTTTTTGATTTATCATCCAATCTTTCAGTAACGTTCTTAACTTTATTTTTCCCAAATTTCTGCTTCTGGTCTTCCTTGATCGGTGTTCTGGTTAATATTTCCGATTTTTGTAATGTCCTTTTACGAGTAGTGACTGGTTTGGCAGGATTTGGTATAGGTCTTAACATAAAGGGAATGCAGTGAGAAGTTGAGTATCCAGGTTTGGGATCCAGTGAAATACTCGCATTTTGTTGAATATTTACTTCAGTTTCTGGCCGCATTGTATCATTTTTCTGAGCATTTGTTGTTGCATCTAGTTCAAAAGCGTAGAAAGATTGAGAACATCCAGGTTCTAGTTCAGGTGTGCCTGTAGATCCAACGTCGATACTATTTTTTTCAGGTGTATTAAGAGAGACTACGATTGGCGTAACAAAGGCCTGCAGCTCAGATGGGGGAACTCTGCTCGGACTGCTCGGACATGGAATTATTTTTACTAAGGAATCAATTAGATTTGGAGAAATAAGTTCTTGAAGAAGTGAAGTTGGAGGAGTTGACGAAGTTTCTGCAGAAGGTGCGAGAGTGTCGATATTTTCCAGTGAGTTTGTGCCTTCTGTGTGAATATTCATATTAGAAGTGTCTGCGATCAGGGCGGCTGGTTCGTAATCTTCGTCACCAAAAGCATATTTATTAACTGGCCAAATACATCTGGTATTTGGCCAGCTGAAAACCCTTTGACTGCATTTAGACTACTGCACTTTTCAAAAATGCCGGTGATAACAGTTTGCCCACATCATATTGATTCATAATGCGTCCTGGGTTTGATTTTTGAAAAACAATTATCTCCATTTCAAAATATGGTTTTAATGGGCCGTAAACGGATATATCCATGGGCTGCATTTTATGAGTTGCATGTGGGTTTGATTTTTGAAAAACAATTATCTCCCTTTCAAAATATGTTTTTAGTGGGCCGTAAACAGATATATTTATGGGCTGCATTTCATGAGTTGTATGTGGGGCTAAGGATAAAATTACGACGTTATTTTTGCTGGATATCGTGGTTGTCCAATAGAAGAAGTATTTTTTTCTCAGGGGTAGGTCAAACATGTTTCACAAAAAAATGCATCCAATCAAGGAATACCTCACCTGAAGTCCAACCATTTGCAGTACAGGTTCCAGCAGCATTACAACAACCAATTGCCGTCGTTAATTGACCACGTTCTGCACTGGTAATTATGCCCACCTGTTTCTTTCCTCTTATTGATAGCACTTTAGGTGGCTCATTAGTGGTGGTTGATATACCAGTCTCATCCATTTTGTATAATCTAGAGGCATCAATATCGTATTTCACAGTCAAAGCTTCGAAATTTTCATAAAATCGTCCAACTTCACGTTTATTGAATCCTTTCGCCCTTGCAACCGATGTTGCTTATGGATTCCTGAGGAAAATTTGATTGTGACGTGACGAAAATGACGATAGCCAGTCATCTCCAGCTTTTTCGTACTTGTTCCAGTTTTTCGGGTAGTTGAAATTATTTTTCTAAGCGTAGGTGAATCCTAAATTTTCAAACTCGTCTCGAGTCAGGCAAGAAAATACAGAATCCATGTCTTTGAGATATGTTATTAACTCTATCTCCTGATCTTCAATCCGTTCAACAGAACGGAATCGGCCCAGTTTTGGAGCCGCGCTACCAGTTTTCACATATCTGTACAAGGTTGCATATGTCCACCCATACTTTTTAGCTGTGCTCTTTATTGATTCTCCAGCTTTGCACAAATTGATAGCCGTTTGCATGACATTTTCATCCCACGACCCTTGTTTGTTTCTTTTATATACAGGCTGATTCACGGTGGATGGCACATTAGACGTTTCTGGTGAACCAGACAACGGATCACTTTGAAAATTTAATGGAAGGCATATTCGGACATTCTCTAGCCAACTAAAATATTTTCGACAATGCGGTGTTGCCGCTTCTATCCAACAATTGCCCGACAACTTTTCTTGATATTTCCCTATACCTATCTGTTACCGTTTTCGAAATAAAAATTAATTTCAATTTTTTTCTTCCAAAATCATGACTTCTAAAAATGCCGATATCTTTCATATTCACTTTGCCCTATCCACTTTGCCCGACTGGGTAATTTTTGAAGTTAACACATTTCATTAAAAAACCTAATGATCCTGACAGTGTTAAATATACTATAAAAACCTAGTTAAATAGGCTAACGAGTCAAAATATGTCTCATGGTCAAGAACTAATAATACTGAAAATGATATCAATGTACTTGCCTTGCAAAATTAATCTTTTTTTTACAACAATTCAAATCACCTTTCTGTGGGCGGCACGCGACACGGCCTCTTGCTCTGATGTTTTCTACGGACTGGCCCAAGATGGCCGAACGTTACAGTGGTGGCGTGTTAAACCACGCATGAATAAGTTAGGAGTAGTGAGGAGTATTCGCTTTGCCCAGTTTATTCACTTTGCCCGACCTTCCCCTATTCCAATGATACCGTCAGATTCTACCATAACCTTCAGAAGGCTACAGTTTCCAATTCGTTTAGCTTTTGCCACGTCTATAACTGAGTCTCAAGGCCAAACAATGTCTATTTGAGGTTCAGATTTGGAAAATCCATGTGTTTCTCATAGGTAATTAACTATATGTTGCATGTTCACGTGTAGGGAAAACGTCAAATCTATTTGTGTTGGCTAAAGACAGGTTAACCAAAAATATTATGCACCGATTAGTGCTTAATTTAAATTAAAAGTATTCATAATTCAAAATAATAAATATTATTGTTGAAGATTTAAGATTATCTGCCCTACCTACCTCATTCATTAGTTTAA